TCCCTTGTCCTCTTTTTGCCAGTTTGTCTGGGACACATTTTAATGCACAATATCCCATCCATTAAGTTGTGGTTGAATGCAGAGTGTGTGAGCACTTGGCAGCTTTTAGGTTGAAGGGGGCGGGGAAGCCAGTTTCGACTTTGACACGAGATGCCGAAGTGGCGTGATTGGAATTATTATCAGGGCTGAGAACATGGCCATCTTCTCCAGGTTGCAAGGACTGCCCCTGAACTTGAGACGGCAGACAAGATCTCCAGGTCCCCTCCCCCTCCCAAGTACAGTAGCCCGCAGGGAAAAGGCGCCAAAATACACAAGATTAACTCTGACTCTCTTTGAACAGATCCTATGGCACCATCCTTGTAACTTTAACTTCCACCAGGCGGGAAAAAGTTAACTTTTGAACCGATACTTGAACAGACATTTAAATCAGCCCTAAAGTGGAGTAAGTCCAGAAAACGGTACATGCTTATGTGCTTACAAAAGGATGCATGTGTAAATAAGCAGGGCGTGTGTATGTGGCCGAGGAGCTCAGGTTTTAATCAGGATCACAATCAGTGTGACTTCCAGAGCATTCACTGTATGAGGAAGAGCAGTGGGAGGCCAAGAAGCTGACCTTTAGCAGCCTAAGTAAAAACTGCAAAGAGTTGTGAAACACAAAACGTTGTGGTTTCCAGTTTTACATTTGAGGTTTGATGTTTTCATTTAATGGTATGAGAGATGGAGAAAGCGCCAGCGCTGAAAAGTCCCTATTAAATCATATGTGGGCAGAGGCCACGCACCCTAACTCACTGATACAACAGTCTGCAGATCCTCGCCTGGCCATGGGAGCACAGGAAAGAGTGCTTGGGCAATAAAAGTATTAGAACAGCAATTACCGCCCTGGTTGAGACTGCATTCTTGTGCACTGGGAAAAGGTTTTTACTGGCCCTGGTGAATTTTAAAGCTGAGTATTGTTGAAAGCTATTTTAATAGGAAATTGATTAGCTGAGTGTTTTGTACAATAAATGGTGACAGATTCATTGTTTGATGTCCAAAATAAATTCCTTTTATCCTTTGACATAGGCATCCATTTAATTTTAATATGGCCAGACATGGCAGCAGCATAATTTTGAGTGAAAGTGATGTCACCAACATCTGTAACTTTGCTTTTGGAGTTTGTGGCATCACACAATTTGACATTATTGCTTTGAAATTTATTAGCTTGTTGTACTGTTCAAATGTCTGAGATACACTTTAGAGATAAGTTCACTGAATGTGCATTTTGTAGCAGCCCAGTTGTGCTTTCTCTTTGTAATTGTGCAGTTGTTTCTTAAATTTTAACGAAAAGGCACAATTCTGTTGTTATATATCATTTTGATTTTTGAGACCGAATAGCAGTTTTCAAAGGAAGAGTTAGAGAGAGGGGCACAGAAAGTTTAAACTGGTCTGCAGTGTACTTTTTTTGCTAAGTCCAGAATAGGAGGACACTTGGCCGTTTTAGACAGAGCTTTCTAAATGTCTCTTTAGAGCTGATTGTTTTCACAAAGCATGTGTGGATGGGTAACAAATTCCAATACACATGTAGAAATAAAATGGAGCCTAGTTTTACTTTAAAGGTTTGCTATTTTGAAAAGGGCAATACTGCAAGTAGGACTCTGTCAGCACCAGCGGGGGATACACCGCAGAGAGCGCACTGCAACCTTTGTAGCCATGAATGAAGCCAGGCAACTTGGTACTGTGACTTTGCAAAGTTACAGGCCAACTGCTGACTTTGTAATTAGGGGAGCAAATGTTTTCCAAAGTCGGGCATCTCTGTCCATGAAACAGCTTCATGAGAGAGAAGTGAAAACTGGCTAACCTTCACGGAGGAATCCGGCCCTGCTGGGGTTCAGATTCAGAGTTGCTGCTTGTAAATGTAGACATACACTTGGTGGGATTAAAAAAAATATTCTGGTACAGGCAGACATTATTAAGGGTGTCATTTCTCTCATTTGGTTTGGTCCTCAGGGGAGACCAAACAGCTCCCAGAGGAGGAAAAAAAGTCCAAGGTTATTTATGTATTTCTGTGAAAGGCAGAGGGCCGGCTGGGGGTGGAGTGGGGTGCGAAGGAGCAGACTGAATTCTCCAGTGGGGAAGCACTGCTATCCTAATTTGACAATATAGTTTTAAGGGCTCAGAGATCTGGGTATGGTTATGCAATTTCCAGCAAGTTCAGGCAATTTCAGTACTTGTTGGTTGTTTACAGATGTATTTTTGAGTGGATTTTGGTGTTGCTGTTTGTGGATATTAGCTTTTCAGTCTGCACATACATGATTTTTGTGCGTGGGGGTAGTTGTGAAGATAGCACCCTGCCTAGCGCAGTGGAGACTTGCAGTTTTGCAGGCCTCTTTGCTGGGGTCAGGAGGTCATCTGTCCCTTTTGTACTTAGTTTTTAAATATTGATATTGGCGATGCAGCTAGGGTGTGTGCAGCAAAGTCTGCCTGCAAATCACATACAAGAGCTAAAAAATAGAAAGGGCATTGGATATATTGGAAAGTACAGCCTTTTTTTTAAAAAAAAAAAGCTTTAAGATACACTGTGTGAAATTACCCAGGGCCTTGCCACCTTTCTCTGCAGATTCTTTGAAAGGGTGGAAGAAAGGCAATAGGAGATAGCTGAGATGTCACGCTCCTCTGGAGGTCAGTGAAGGACTCAAACTGGGTAACAATGTTTATTCTTAAATACACAAGGGGGGCTTGAAAATTCCAGTCACCTGAGGTACAGAATTCTTTTTAGAAATTAGAAAAAAAAAAAAAAACAACAACAAACAAAACCACACACAAACCTGTCTGCCAGAAAGGAAGCTTTCCCCCTTCTGAGGTGTCAGGGAATAGGTGGTGGAGGGAGGGCGTCCTGGGGGACTGGTAGGTCAGATTTTCCAGTCACTGAGGTAGCCACTCACTGCTTTCCAGCTCCCCAGCCAGGTCTGGGCAAAGGTGAGCGGCCTGTGGAGTCACTTCGCCACCCCTTTCCATCTGACAAGAGGCAGCGAGAGGTGAGAAGAGGCGAGCACCCAAGGCTGAGGGCCGGGCCCATCCTGACAGTACCAGAAACTTGTCAGAGACTGCAAAACCACTTCCAGCACCACAGCGCGTGCAAGCCCGGAGGAAGGGAAGGTGAAGGAAATGCGGGTTCTCCCCCAGTTCCTCTCCTCTCCTCTTTGGAATTCAAAAGACTGTTATTTTCAAATCAAAGGTGGCTGACAAGAACTGAGCTAAAGCAGAGTAGCCAGATGTTCCGCGGACCCCAGTTCATCCACCCCTCAGTTACAGAAGACGAGGGTTCTTCCTAGGGAGACCTAGCGTGACCTTGGCGTTGCCTGGATGGAGGCAGTGCTGCAGGGTGGGCGCGAGCCTGTGGCTCCAGGCCTGGGGTCGCAGCCATGTGTCCGGAGCACCCTAGTGCTCCCTCCCAGGACTCTGCTCACTCTTCACTCCTGTCTGCTTTCCTCGTCTCACCACTACTACTCCATCTTCCTCTTTCCTTGGAGACAAACGACAGCCCCCCAGCTCCCGAGTGTCCTCCTGGGTCACAGAGCACACCAGTCCTGAGCACTGCACGCAGGGGTGGGCCCCGGAGCCCGAGTCCTCCCTTCTCTGGGGTCTTACCTGGGTCTGGCGCTGATGCTTCGTTGCCCAGGGTGTTGCTTGCAGCTTTTGTGAGTTCTTCTGCGTAATGGTTGCCAGTTTCTCGTTTTGTTTTTTTTTTCCTTTTTTCTGTTATAAGCTTGTGAGAAACTTTGGGATGCAACCTAGTTTTGTTGGCAGAGGAAACGGTTTCTGTAGGGAAGGGAAAGTAGCAAGGGGAGGAGGGGGCAATGCCTGCAGTCAGTCACTGGCCCAGGGCTCCTGGGCACTGGGCCGCTTTGCCAGGGGACGAGGCTGGTTCTGGGCTCGCTGGAAGGAGGCTCTCTGGGTGCCAGGATTCAAAAGGGTGGCGAGGCGGGGAGGGCGGGGAGAGGAGAGAGGCGCCCGAACTCCTGAGAGACCCCCAGGGAGGCTGCCCTGAGTCCAGCGTTCAGAGGTGTGTTCCAGGACTGGCCTGGGTTCTGCCAAGGGGACTGTCTTTGTGGTAAATCAACTCCAGTTAAGTCGAAGGTTTGCTCAAAGGGACACTTCAGTAGTTAAGCGCAGTCGTCGTGCGGCGCCGC